GAGGGCGACCAAACGCAACAGCAACATTGCGCGATGCCGTCTTTGTCCAACTCTCCGACTTACCGAGTCTTACAGAGAGGCTCGGCTCCAGTTTGCCAGAATGAACATGGCAACAAATTGGTCAAAGGTGGGGGCGCTTTCTAAGCCTAGTCCAACGACGAAATTTTCTGTTTAGGTGGTGTTTTCCGATGAGAAGGAATTTAACCTGGATGGTCCAGACGGGTACGCTTATTACTGGAGGGATCTTGGCAAGGAGCAGAAATTTTTCAGCAAGCGTGATTTCGGCGGAGGCAGTGTTATGGTTTGGGGAGGATTCCACCGAGGCGGCAAGCTCGAACTAGCCTTCATTTCCACGAAAAAGAACTCAGTAGACTACCAGGACATGCTTGGGCGACACCTGCTGCCATTTGTCGCTAGTCACGGTAGAGGAGAGTTCGTTCTTCCAACAGGACAATGCGGCCATCCATGTGAGCAGGTCTACTATGGCATGGTTGGAGGAGAGAAATTTAGTCACTATGGATTGGCTCGCTTGTTTTCCGGATGTAAAAGAACATCTGGGGTATACTTGTCAGGGATATTTACAGTCAAAGACGGACTTTCTCAAATGTCGCGGACCTCCGGACAGCAATCAGCCAGGCATGGGTTCGTTTGGATCCACAGCTGCTGAACAAACTGGTCGAGTCCATGCCAAACCGCAATTTTGAAAGCATTTCAAAAAATGGAGGACCAATTGATCATTGAAAGACCAATTGATCATTTAAAGGCTGTTAGTAGTTTGTTTTCATAATAAAGGATTCCGGGTTCTTGAAGTGTGTCTATACTTATGATACGGTCTGAAAACAGGTCGAGCGTCCGAATACCTTATATTTTTCAACATTGAACAGATGAAGTTTAATTACCGTTTTCATAGCCTTCTCGATCACCGTGTTGCCGTGGGGGTCTGTTCAAAATCCTTTCTGGACGTTTTTGGGGCTGTGTCTATACTTATGATACGCACGTATGACCTTCCCTTCCTATAGTCCTGTAGTTTTGCACATGTTTCCGATATTACAATGTCAGAAACGAACGGGTCCAACATCACGACCTACTGCGAAGAAACATATGTCGAGTTGTACAAGTTACAGAAGTTTACCAATCTACAGACCAACTCTCCAGCAGGAGCGCGTACTAGCGAACCCACCTCAAGAACTCGCAAAAAATCTGTAGCCGTTCAGTCTGATTAAGTTGCCTACTCAACTATGTTTCTTTACTATTCACATGAGCTCTTCTAAAGTCAAAAATACAGTCCCAAATACGAATAGGTACAGGGAAGTGTTATAGATTACTGAGGACTCAGTGATCTTTAATACTGTCCCGTCAACACCAACCTGGTTTTTTGTGGAATCATCCATTATCTTAAAATCTCTCGTTTGTGCGTTTGTGCTTTTTCTTTCAGTCACTCGCATTGTTTCAAAGCAATACACGATGGCTAGAGGTGATTTATCTGTGATTACCCTGATCAACCACTTACCCCGACTCTTTCATTCAGATCTAGCGAACGTTCCATAGTGGATCGCGTCGAGACGTTCGTCATATTGGTATTGCTTTCTTCAGTAATGGCCTTAAGAAAAAATAGGAATATCGTATTTGAAGAAAACACAGGAAGATTCCAGACATTTGTTAATTTTCATAGCGCTGCGTATCAAATGTTGAAGGCAGACCTCGCCAGGGCACATCATTGGTTGGGGATTTTGGTCAAGTCCGTACGACCCCTCCTTTTTTGGGGGTTGGTAGAACCCCCCCCCCTCCCGGCCTCTCTTCCCTCCTCACCCTCCTCATCGAATTGAGCCGTCGAGCGGGGGAGGGGAGGGTTATATAGTACGCATGAAACAGGAAAATCACGAAAAGTCAACCACCACTCCTAGAAAGGCCAGAAAGTAAATACGACCCCCCTCCCAACAATGAGCAAGTACGACCCCCTTTTACAACGTCCGTGAAGCGAGAAAAATCAACTATCAAAATAAATTTTTCTCAGCCCAAATACGACCCCCTCCCCCTCCTGGCGGCCAAATACGACCCCCTATTGGGGATTCCCCAACAACGATGTGGCCCTGCCTCGAGCAGGTCTGAACTGTCACAGCAACATGGATATCGGCTTGAAATAAGCTTCAAGCGGGTAGCCCTTGTTTAAAGACAGCCCCCGCGCTCGAGTAGTACATGGTCGTCCTTCCTTGTGCAAGTAGTACAGCCCCCAAGCTAGAGACTGTCCCACTCTATTCGTCTGCACAGCGAGCGAGAAGCGAGCTACAGCCGCTGTAAGTTCTAGTTCTAACGCCTGCTCAGTTGGACCGCCTTACTTGCTAGATGTCCTCCGACGGAGGCCACTCAGTTGTTCTTAGTTGGGGCGGCGGGCATTGCTAATGCCCATGGATAATTCTGCTCCCCTTTATTACAGTTTACTCATTGGAGGTATATACATTCAATTCAACT